TCAGGAGAAGAAATCCAGGTTTCCAAAAGGGATGGCTTTTTAGAAGCTGTCCCTTTACCATTAAAACTCAATAGGAACTCTTGCTGAATGAAGTCACCAAGATTCAGATTGTCCATGAATTTGATCTTGTTTTAGGGTTCTGTTACCAAACCCAGTAGTGCAGGAAGTCTGTCTTCCTTGTTAACTAAAACCTGATCAACACCCTGGCTGCAGGTGGGCAGTTCTGCACGTGTTATGACGTTTATACCTGCTTATAAGCGTGAAATGACCCTAAACCTCTTCTCTTCTTGCAGGGCATTGAGCGTCTTAAAAATCAGAGGCCCACCTGGGAGAAGATCAGTGGCTGGGAAGGAATGAAGCTGGCATTTGGTGGTGCTTTCTCCTTGGGTTGGTTCAATCCCTTTTCAGACCTGAACTGCAAGAGCCCAGAGCTGGCTGAAGCGGCGGCAGCAGCTCCTGCATCTGCAATAATGACTCAAGAAGAAATCGAGCAGTTTCTTGCTCGAGATGTTGCCATCCAAGTGTTGCATGAATAAGCGAAGCATCCTCCAAGATGTCAATAGCATCTTTCAGGTTTTGGTGGGGTTTTTTTAATAACTACTTGCGTTGGAGATTTAAGGAGCTGGTTTTTAACATACTTTTGGTGCATTAAAAGATTCAGGAGTATTATCTGGAAGACAGGTACAGCACTAGCAGAAGCAACACAAATCTCCAGAGAAAGCTTTATAAATTACAAGATCCATAAGCTCCTTTTTTGGACCTGTGGCAGCTGCTTTATCAAGCTTTTCTTACTTGGCGTTTAAGGAAAGTTTATGATTGTTTGATAGATTGGTCCCAGTTTTGTGAAATGTGTAGCCCTGAGGAGTCTGGTTAATCTTTTGTTCCTACAGCCTTTTGGAGGCCTAAATGATAAACCCTGTGAAATGGCCAGATTAGCCCAGTTTTACAGGTTTTCTTGGAAAACGCATCCTTTTTAGCTCATCCCATGGATGCTGCCTCTGGATTATGAAAGTTGCTGGTGCTCAGGTCTTAGCAGAGGTGGGATACTGGGCTACAGACACAGCAGCTGAGTGAGCTCACTCCGGGTGTAACTCCTTTGGGCTCTAAAATATCTCCATGGATATATTTTAACCCTCTGTGCTGGTGGGGCTGCCCAAAGCTGATGGTGCTTGGCTGAGCAGCACTGGGGTCAGTGAGCTGGTTGTGGTGCCAGGCCAGCAGGAGTATTCACCCGTGGTCAGCACAGCCAAGAGCAGGCAAGTATTGGCCAGGCTCTCGAGCCACTGGTGGGGAGAAGAAGCTTGTACCAAGGGACTGCGGTTCATTAGCACGTGTGGGGCAGGAGCTGCCTGGCCGAAGTCTGCAGCCCAGAAAGCTGGCAGCTGGCCTAGGCTGGGCACCAGGCATGTTTCTACAGCCAAAGAAGACAGGGAGCTGTGAGCACTCTGCTGATGGAAATACTGGCTCTTTCAATTTGACTTGTCTAATTTAGGTGTCTGTTTTTTTAATTTTTCCTCAGTAGCCAGAGTCAGTTGAGAATTAATATTGCTTCTTAGTCTCGCTGGGGTTTAATCTTGCCCTGCTAGTGCTTGCCATTATGCAGGGTTTCCTAACGCTAATTTTGCAGCCAGGTCCTGGTGAGCATCGGGGAGTGCACAGGAGGCACGTGCACGGCTCAAGGCAGGTGTCACTGCAGGTGGCAGAAGCTGCAGCAAAGTCCTGCAGAGCTGACACCAGCCCGGCTGCATTCAAACACACCACAAGCACTTGCCACGCTCCAGATGTCAGTTAGTATAGTTTTAATGTAGACTTCTTTTTTAATTGTTGTCTTCTCCTTATCTCCCTTAGCTTAACTGTCAGTACATTTTGCAGGATACTAGAGATGTGCTCCTGGTTTTCCCCTACAGGACATGTTTGGCTTCATCTTCCCCCTCCTCTGTAACATGGACCAAAGATAATTACTTCCTCTCAAAAGTAAAAGAAAGGAGTTTGGGGGATGAAAACATAGTATTGTGAAAGACCTAGATGAAGTTTCTTACTATTTATAGAAGCAATACAAAATGGAATTTGTGCAAGATTTGAAATTTTTTTTGCCCCCCCCCAAACTATCTTAGTATTTATAACTGGGGTGACATTCAGGGCTAGTGTGGAGCAATAAGATTCTCTCCTGGACTTGTCTTCTGCCACAGCAGTCCTTTTTTCTGGCAAAGGGTCTGGGAACAAATCAAGTGCCATGACTGTTAGGAGCACAGCTTGGCTAAAATCCAAGGGTTATTCCCAAACAGTCATCCCATCACCTGTTCCCTTTAGATGTCTCTTCTTTTTCAATGGAAAATAGTTTTAGAAAAAAATTATTGGAACCTGTGTATTTCTGAAAAATCCTTTTTGGTAAAGGGAAATACCCTGGTTTTGAGGGGAATCAAGGTGTCATTACATATCATTTAGATGTGAGGTCTTGAATGTCATTGCTCTGTGCAGCAGTGTAAGAGCAAGGGAAGAAGCTCTCCTGCTTTTGTACCAGCCTACATTCCTCTCCATCAGCTTTCCACAGGAAAGGGGAACATACAGGGACGTATGCAGATCTATAAGGGATTTCCTGTAGGGATGTTGAAGGAGGAAAAGAGGGCCCTTTTTAACTCATGTTTTCTAATTTTGGCTTGCTGCTTGTCCTTATCCAGTTAATGTCCCTGCCTCCAGTGCCATGTCTGCAGAGTGGGAATGGTGCTATGGGGTCCTGAGGGGAGAAACTAGTTGGTGGTTGAAAATCACCTTGAGGCAAGTGCACATAGTGATGCTTCTCGGGACATGGACCCCACTTCTGTGTCTTTGGTTAGGCACTGATGGAGGCAACATATCTCCTTCTTCACTCTCAAACCTGGTTCACTTCATCATGAGGAGAGGTGCCCATTGCTTCTGGTTCCCACTGCCTGTGTTACTCAGTTGCGGGAATTTCTAGGCCTTTTTGTTAATAGCTGAAATGGAAAAGCAGTGTGAAGTGGGGTGAGAGCCAGAGCAGCCATCTCCCCTCCTCCCTCAGTGCAATTATGGGAGTGAGAGAATGGGACATGTCCCTGTGCCCTCTGCAGAGATGTGGGCAGCCAGCCCAGCCCCAGTTCTGGTGCCCTACAGAACTGGTGGGGTGACTTCCTACGTCCAGTGAACTGGTTCTCTTGGAGTGTCTTGGCTGTCAATCTTGTCCCCCTTGGCTGTCAATCTTGTCCCCCTCTTCCTCCCTCTTGAAGCTCCAGTGTCTCTCAGTGTATCTCCTTCCTGTCTTGCTATAAATGTGGCAACATTTTTTTGTCAGAAATTGCAAAATCTTCACAAGCTGGAAAAATCTGTTTTATCCACAGCTCTGGTATAAATCTCCTTCTTTGATGACTACCTGGTAGCTTGAGACCAAATGTGATTTTCATGAAGTTGAAACCAAATCCACTGTTTTCCTTCCATTCCCTCCATGGACTCCTTGCCCCTTGCTCAATCGTGCCTTCCTCATTCAGGCTGTGCTGCTGTGGTCCTGGTTGGCTTGCTGGGCCATGGGGAAGCACTCCTCCAGGGTACCCAATGTGCTGCAATCCACTGGAGATCCCATGGCTGCTCCAGTGTGAGGTGTTAATACATGATGGAAAAGGTCATGGCAGACGTAACAAGTGTTCTTGTACTTATTATCTGGTGTCTTCTACAGCAGGTTTTCTATGCAAGTAAAGAATTTACATCTCTTGAAAAGAAATATATTTTGCTGTTTGTAACTACTTTTTATGCCTCTGGTCACTACTGTACTTATTAAAGAGCTAATACTTCATCTGCCAAAGACTGCCTGGTCCTCCCTTCCCTGCGGTCACCATGTGTAGACCCTGTGCCTGCCCTACCTGGGGAGAGGGGTCCCTGCTCCTGGCCCTGCCACCACCACAGGTGGGCTTGGGGGGACCCAGTGCTGCTGCAGGGCACTGGGACACTGGGTGCAGAGGGCTGGAAGGGGTGGGGGGAAGTCTGACTGTCTTCTGTGGCCCTGCCACCACCTGGGCATTCCTCCAGGGGTCCCCTGAATGTTTGAAATGCAAGGGAGTAGTCAAAACTTTTTTTTTTTTTTTTTTTTTTTTTTTTTTTTTTTTTTCTCCTTCTTTTCCTTCTCTCCTTTTTCCTCCTCCCTTTTTTGCTCCTCCTCCTTTATAGGCTGACACATAATCAGGTGTATTTGCCATTTCTTTTTTTCTCCTCTGCAGCCCTAATGCTTGAACATTTGCCTTTCAAAGAAACAAATAAATTAAACCCCTACAGTTGTTCAGAGGTACATCACCATTAAGGTCCAACATGTAATTCAGGGTGGAAGGGGAAGGAGAGAGGTTTTGCATTTCTGGTGAGGCACCAGTAATGGTGCTGGAGATGGTACTTCTTCCAAAAAATGCATTAAAACCTCCAAAAGAAATTGTATCAGGAGGAAAGGAAGATGTATGGAAAATGGTCTTTGGGGAGACAGTGCCAGGTGTGCTCTTGTTGTCTAAGGACAATAAAAGGTGTACACCAGTACATTCCCCAGCTGGCTAGCTGGGAGACAGAGGGAATCACCCAGGAGACATTTGTTTAAAACATTTCCTGAGCTGCACAGCAACCTGTGGTGCGGTGAAGTCCCTGGGTGGCCTCCCATGGAGGACCACAGTCCAAATAGCCAAGCAGCTGGAAAACACGCCCTGGGCTCACACCCAGTCCCAGCTGAAGCTGGCACCTTGGTGAGCTCCAGTCCCTACCAGCCCCCAGCCCGTGGACTCATAGCCTGACGATACCATCAAACCCAGTCACGCAGTTGATTTTAACAACCTTTATTGAATCACGATTAACTGCAATCAAAGCAACTGTGCTCTTTAAGTAATTTTAGCTTAGTGGGATTTTTCGATATAACTTTGGGAGTACTATCCAGCAACCAAGGAAGAAAGAAGTGCCTGAGATGCACAGCAGTGCTCTAGGCTTAGCAAGGCCATTTACACCCCGCTGAGGTGCTGATCCTATGGGGTGATGGTGATGGTCTTCTCTGCAGAGATTCCTTTGATCTGGGCTGCAGTCAGCTTGGCTACTATTTTCTTCTCTCCTAGTCTTGTTGGAGTGCATATTATTTGAGACTTAATGATCCTACCAGGCTCTATATCCCTGAGGAGAAAGAAAGAACAAATAGTCCCATGAGCATGAGTTATGGTTCTTATTAGCTGCTTTTGAATCAGTTTGCTTAAAGAAATACCTGCTATGTGTGTTTAGGGTGGGTGATGCCCTTTTCCTGTCACCAACATGCAGCAAGCAGGGCTTGGCATGGTGGTGCTGCCTGCTGCTCCCTGTGACACTGAGGATCTTCCCCAGACTTTCCTGTACTGCTGAAACACTAAATTCAGCTCTGAAAGAAGCAGCTGCTTTTACACTGGCCAAGCAGCACCTGGCATCACAGCAGGAGTGTGGGTAGAGCCCCTGTCGTGCCTGAACTCCTGGAGCATGTCAATCTCTGTGTGGGTCTTTCTGCTCTGTGGCCTGCACCCAAATGAAGTGTGGTTTTGAGCTTTGCTTGCAAAGGGCCCTGTTACACCAAGTTACTCCAAGTCTGCTAACCACTTCTTCAAAGGAAATTAAAGAAAAAATAAAATAAAATAAAATGAAACAAAGCAGAATTCTGCCATGCTCCTTTCATACTGGGCTCATCTCCTTACCCCTCATCAAATGTTGACATCTTAAATAAGCCCAAGCCCTCCACCATCAGCTTGCAGTTGTCCAAGCGCACGTTCAGCTTGTTCTTGAAGATGAAGGCACAGGTGAACTCCTCATTCAGTCTGGCTGTTTCTGGCATCTGGCAGAGGAGGAAGGAGAGAAACAAACCCAAAAGCTGTCAATCAGAGAGGTAATAAAGACGCTGGAACTGCTGCCAGTTTGCTCCTCACCACAAGTGCTGTGGGAAACAGGCCCCCCCAGACCCTTTCCACCCTCCTGTGGCACCATGTGCCCTGCCCCACCAGCTGTTTTCCCAGATTTTCTCTGGTTTCTCAACACATTTTTCCTTCAGGAGATAGAGTTGTGGGGTTGGAGATGGCCAATGTACCGTCATCTTCCATCCAGCAGCCCGTGCCTGCCTTTGTTAGATGGGGCAATAAAATCATGGCTGCTTTCAACCTCCAAATAAAGCAAAAAAAATGCCAAGGACAGAGTATCTCAAGAGGCAGCTTTTGGGAGATCCTCCCATGAATCCTAACACCACCATGGTGGTCCAGTGAGAGGACCTGGGATGGTGGCTGCCTCACCTGGATGACGATGGGCGGGTACTCGAAGCGCATCGCCGTGTCCTTGGTGAGCTTGTCATCTGTCCCCTCCACCTCAGCAATGGCAGTGACGTGGATGAGCACTTCATCTTCCACCAAGGCCAGAGTGTTCATGTACACGTCGGCTGGGATTCTCAGAGGGATCTGTGTCTCTGTGGGAGAGAAAACACAGCTCGCTGCTTCATCACATACCCACGAACTGGATGGCCAGTTTGGCCAGGGCCTGGTGCCCTGGGGTGCAGGGTGAAGCGTATTTGCCAAGACCATCCTACATTTGGCCAGACCTGGGGGCCCCGAGGGGGCAGCCCCAGCTTGGCAAGTGGGACCTGGCATATGCAGCCTGTGGGAAGGGTGGCTGGCCCCACAGCCCTCCCTGCCAGTTTAAGTGCTGGGTCAGGCTCACATCCAGCATCTTGGCAGCCCTTGTCCATGGCCGCTCCAGAATCCAAGAGGAGGCAGAGGAGTGTGAGGTTGGGTACATTTAAGCCTGTGTCCCTCAGGGTTTCTCTTAGGCACTACTTGCTATAAAATTAGCTGCTTTCGTTTCACTTCAGATTTTATCTTTAATTGCCTGGACAAACTTCCAGTGGCTTGGAAAAGCCCCAGAGTCAGCAGTGCTGGAGCTGGAATGTTGTTTGAGCTGTAAGGCTTCCTGGCTTCTGGGAATAAAAAAAAAAATAATGCCTGTCCTAATTTCTAAGTGTATGTAGCTACCCTTATGTCCTACCCTGCTGCATTTTGACAGCCACAGTATGAGTGAGAAGACACAGCAATCACAAGCAGCAAATAATTTTTTGCAAGAGTGACTATACAGTTGGAATGAGCAAGTGCTGTTAATTATTCATCACTCGTTAGTCTCTTGTTTAGCAAATTTCAGTTCCATTGCTGAGGATCAGAAATGCAACCCAATTTGCTCAAAGATATGCAATGAGCAGCAAAGAGCTCTTGGGATCATCCAGGCAGGCAGCTGTGAGGTTGAAATTTGCTTGGGTGAAGAATTCAGAAAATAATATTCACCAGCATCACCACCAGCTGATCAACATTAGAGTGGCAAGCACAAGAATAAAAGAAAGGCTGATATGCCCAGTTATCTAAATCCTGTGAGGGATCTGACCTGTATGGACACACATGAAGCCTGTGGTGGCATCATGGATGCTTACACAGTGAGGCCAGTAGGAAGATGCTCCAGCACATCTCACTCACACAGTCAAAACATCTGACTGCCCACACTGATGTATTTCTAACCATCTCGCTGAAACTACAGCAAGGCCAGGACCTTGATGTTCTGGTCCCTGCTATGGTGGGATCCTGATCTATGGCTAAGGCTCCCAAATGCAGTAACAAGAGAGGCAGGTAGCAGGCAGGCACCTCGTACTCTTCATGCTGTGCAGAGCCATGGAGCTGTTACAAATGGGCTCAAGTGAAACCCCAGACTGCCCACAGAAGACAGCAAGCTTTCTGTGCTTACCAGATTTTCCTTCAAGGATGACAGCCTCCTTGACATAGCCAAGGTTGGCCACAACATTCCCAGTATAGGACTGTAGCTGGCAGGAGCCAGTAAGATTGATGGTCCAGCTTCCAGGAGCAGAGATCTTCACTGTGATGGCCAGTTCAAGGGGATTTCCAGGATACAAAGCTTCTGTATTGGATATCTCAAGCTGGAGCCCTGTCTTGGAGACTGTCTCATGCAGGACCTCAGGCCTGGAGAGCATGTCATCCACAGGCAGAGCCGAAGCGAAGCGTCCCCGGGGGACAAATATTGAAGGGCGTAGGAAGGAGCAAGCCTTCTCCATAGCCTTCCTTTCCTCTTCAGAGCCTGGATGAAAAACAACATGGGTGATAGCTGTACCTCAGTCTCCTCACCCAGAACCACCTTCCCTTTGTTTATGCTTCTGCTGCTGTGCAGAGAGGATGCCAGGGCACTGATCACATCCAGCCTTGGCTGGTTGTGACCCTCTTGGTTCATGATGCCACTGGAACTAAAGGTAGCATTTTAGATTGGAAGAATTTCCTGAAGGAGACACTTTAAGAGGATAGATGCTCTTAAATTTTTCAGTCTAAGATCCTCCTGCTCCTCACAGGGAAGGGTTTAGCAGTCTAGCACAACATGGCTGGACCTGATGCAAGGAGAACCATGGGAAGGTAACGTAAGGGTGTTTTTGTTTCCTATATGGTCTGGGGAGTGGAAAGACAGAAAGAAAAAAGAAGAAATGAAGAAACAGTGAGTCAGACCACTAGGTTGGTCACTAAGCCCATTTCTTTCACTGCTGGCAAGCTTGCTTGCACCTGGCCCTAAAGAGCAGCCTGCAGATGTCACCACAGGCATGAAGATACCCAGGAGCAGTGCTGCTTCCCCCAGGTCCCCAGGCTTTACACAAGGTTTGCCACTGCAGCTCTACCCCTGAGGTTTTCTCCTGGAGAAAACTTGCATTGTGGGGTGTCCTATAGAACCAAGGCTTCTCTCTTTGGCACTACTTTAGAGGACAGGGGCAGTCACCTTCAGGGAACTTGTACTCAAGGGTGATGTCCTCTCGCTTGTCCTCCCCCACAGCTTTTGTGCTTATGTTCACGCCGATGCCTTGGGTCTCTGTGCCAATCCTGGTGTATTTCTCCTTGCCATTCACCTTCCTGACGATCCAGTAGACTCTGTCAGCATTCACTTCCGCATACACAAACTTGCTGTCGTAGGGCAAATACACATCCCCATCTCGGACAGCCTTCAGTGGGCAGGGACCACACTGGAAAATACCTAGAAAGCACATTCAACACCATTTCTTTCCAAATGCAGGCAGAGCCTCCAATTTTTATTCCAACCTTAGACCCACCCAAGCAGGAATCTGTGGTCATGACAGTTGACCCCTTGTAGTAAATATTCCTCCCTCTCAGGGATGAAATTCAAAAGCCCCCATTTATCTTACAGCTGTTTGGGCTTTTTTTGTAGGTGACCAAGGTCTGGTAAGAGCTTTTAAGTGTTTCCCCTGAGTTAAATCATTTTAAAGTTTGGAAGTCTTGGCTAGATAAAGGAGTCAACCAAGTCCAACCACCTGTGTTTGATCTAGCAATACACCACTGTATGCACAGCCTTGAGGATTAATGTTTTATTTCCTGCCCTCAAATTCCCTGCTTTTGTGCAAGGAGGGTAGCCACCAATTTTGTCAGTCAGTTCTTTCATTTACCAATTAGTGGACTCATGACTTCCCCAGGAGAGCTCTAAAGAAAGCATGTGGAAAATCTGGGAAAAGCTGTGGCATCTCTTACTACGGGCTGCTTTGGGTCCTGAACTTCACCAAAGAAATCAGAGGATGGTGGAAAGAGAAATTAGCTCCAATTTCCAGCTGTGCACTCTAACCTCTGCAATGACATTCATATTCCCACTGTGTCCTGCAAGGTTGGTTTTCTGCCTGCTGAAAAATGCTGTTCCTCCTGTCCAGGCTGAGATGGCAGGAGTGAGACCTCCAGCTGCAGGATGCTATTGCCCAAGTGCAGGAAGATGCACATGGAGAGTATGTTTTGCTGACCGGGAACCATGGTTCTCATATTAAATGTTTCTGCCTCCCTTAGGTGTTCCAGAAGAGCCTTTCTTAGCAAGTCCTACCTTGACTTTGCTCCTGAGGGGTTGCATCAATTGCCTGCCAGCCATCAAACCCTGTCGGCAGGTCTGTCCGCTTCATCCAGACATCATTCCACACATGGAAGTTCCTGCATGCATTTGGGTTGGAAAGAAAAAGAGTGAGCTGTTAGAGTCAGAAGAGTCAAGATCTCCTCTCTTAATCCTCAATTAAGGGCAGGGTTAATGAGGACTTGTGTATAACCCCAGACTTCCTCTCTTTTCTGTGCAGCAAACCCAAAGCAGCAGGGAAATTCTCTAAGGAAAGGCTGCTGAGGCAAAAAAATGCAGTGCTGTGGGGAGGCATGAGGGGTAGGAAGCATTAGCCCCCTTTGGCAGTACCAGATGGAGTCGAGGGACCTCGTGTTCAGTTTTTCTCCACGTTCATTCAGGTAAACATCAACTCTTAGGTTCTCGTCTGTATCATGTGCTGAGTTGAAGTTACTCACACAGCGGGATGGGATCCCCAGGCAGCGCATCACTGTGGCATGGACAGACAAAACACAGGGTCACAAAATCACTGAGGTTGGTAGGTGCCTCTGGGCATTGTCTCGTCTGACCCCTCTTCCCACCCAGGTTCCTCTAGAGCAGGCACTCAAGACCATGTCCTGAAAGTCTTTGAGTATCTCCAAGGATGGAGACTCCACAACCACGCTGGGCAACCTGTGCCAGTGCTCGGTCACCCTCGCAGTAAAAAACCCTCTTTTTCCCTGTTCAGACAGAACTTCCTGTGTTTCAGGTTGTGCCCGTCACATCTGGTTCTGTCACGGGGCATCACTGAGAAGACCCTGGCTTTAATTGCCCCATTCCCTCCTGTTGTGTATTTATATACATGGATAAGACCCCCGAATCTTCGCTTCTCCAGGCTGAGCAGTCCCAGCTCCAGCAGCCTCTCCTTACATCAAGGATCCTGCCACCTCAGGTGCTCAGAAGCGCAGTAATCTGTCTCACTAGCACAGTAATTAGGATAGTAGAGAAGGGACACAGTTCACTCTTTACCTGTAGTGAGGACTCCTGCAAAGACCCAACATTGACCATAACGGACTGGCTGCTTGGTTTTGTAATACTTCTGCAAAATTGTGACACTCCCAATCCAATCCATAGGGGAGGTTCCACTGATGTAGTTCCCTGACCAGTTCCCTAGCAGGACACCATTGTCATCGTTGGCATTAACCTGTGGACACACATACATGCAAAGGAGAAAATATGGGGATGAGGCTGACTGAGGATTAAACCCTGGAGCCTCTGCAGACCCTGTGTCTCCCCAAGGTGCTCCACATCCTTGTGGCACCCAGTGAGGCTGCTGGTGCCAGGTGGTTGGAAACCCTGCTTGGAAACCCTCCACCTAGGTATACAGAGGGAGGTGGCACTACTGCTTGGGGCAGCTGTAATGCGCTATATCCTAAACCCCAGGGCTCCCCAAAGGGTCCCACCATAGTTTCCCCCTGAAACACAACCTTCATGTTGGCTCTGCCACTGCAGCTGCTGGGGAAGGATAACCACTGGGGCACCTGCAAGCTTTGGAGACAGCGAGATGCTGTATTTCGCTTGCCTCTTTTCTCCATCTAAAATCTACCTGGCTCTTTCCTTGCAGTTTTGCAAATGAACCCATTTCAGATGCATCCTGAATTGGTGTTCAAAGCCCCGGGGAAAGAAGAGCAAGGAAGAAGGAGGAGGGAAAGCTGGAGGGGCAAAGCACTTCTCCATGAGAGCCATACCAAAGCAGACATGACTCTGGACACAGACACAGGATCCCTTCTACGGCTCAACTTCAGTTCACTTTTGTCCAGCATATACATGCAGGCATCCAAGACGAATTCCTCAAACTGTTTGGGAAAGAAAGTGGAGACATTTCTATATGCCACTCTAAAGCAGAATTTACTCAATCACTACAAAGTCTATCTCAGTACTTGGCAGAAACTATCCAACTAGTCCTAACTTCTCAAGCCTGACAGGGCTTCCAAAAGCTGCTTCGTCCAAAGAAGTGCTTAAACGAAAAGCCACCTTGGGAAAAAAAAAAAGCCTGTCTCGTGGAGAATGGAGTGGACATTGCAATGGAGCAGTTGGAACCTGACCAGCAATCTTCACTCCTGCGAGTAGTTCTAAGTCACCTACGTCATTTCCCTGCAGCCCTGAAAATTACTCACAAGAGTAATGAAAATTTAAGAGGGCTACAGATATTCAGTCTATTGACACAGGTAAAACACAAACCCTAGGGGGAAAAAAAAGGTACGTAAATGCAGATTATTACAGCAAAAGATTCCTAATTAGCAAAGGCAGATAAAGCTCCCTTAGGTCCAATGCACAGAGATGTCAAACATCCAATCCAATGAAGCTTGGCAGAATATCAATATCAATTCTCATTGCTTAACAGCAGAACAAATATTAGGATAGGAACAGCCCTATGGATGATGCCCTTTGGCCCATTTATGGAAAACGCATGGGTGCCAGTACTTTTGCTGGGCTATCCATCTCTTGCAGCTTGAAATCACAGACTTTTCAAACAAAACAAAACAAAAAAGAAAACTAAAAGAAAAAAAAGATAAAAACCCCACAGATTCCAACATTTTTTTGGTGGGGAAGTCTGTCTGGATAGGGTGTAGGATGCTCTGTTTAGGTGCCTGTGTGCTTTCCATGGAGTGCAAGTAAACCTGCTCTGGCATCCACCTCTTATCTCTAGCCTGAGCGAGTTTGTTGTTCCACTCCACTGGAGTTATCTCAGAGGGAGCTTGGAGGAACACCCTTCCTGAGAGGGTGGGCTGATCATGTCCTGCACCAAACAACTCCCTTCACAGCTGGTGAAGGCATCGCTTGAATGACAACAACCTCTGCCAGTGCTTTTACCCTGTTTTTTTCCCAATCATGATGCAACAGGTAAATAATCAGGTTTTTTCCCCCCCTCTCCATGGCTCACGAGCTGTTTACCGACAGCTGCCGTGTTGTATGAGAGCAGGGAATTCTGCTTATGGGAATCTTTTCAAAGAGAAATGCTCTGTCCCCATTTTCTGTTTCCTTTGCCAGGGATCTCGTGATCTGACTATGAACATGCCAGTAAACCCCGTCCTCAAGCTGTGGCTGGGGATAACACTTTAGCACACATGGTTACTCAAGGCAAGTGAGCCCTCACAGTGAAGCTGGCAGGGTCATTCAAGTGCTTTGAGCTACTCATGGGCTTAAACTCTTTTCAGGTCTGATTAGTTGAAACAAATGCCTACAGGAGAAAGAGCAAAGCAGGGCAATAACACTAAGACAACTGCGTTTTACCTGCCCAAAATTCCAGGGTCTAGGGTATATGCTGTATGCAGACCCAACATAGATTAAGCCTGTATCATTGAGAACGTACTCCTTTCTCTTCGCCTCATCATCCAGGAAGACAACGTCATCTGGAACGAAAACCCCCTCAGATGTTAGGTGGTTCACACATGTGCTATGCAGAGATTTCCTTGGAATGCTAAACTGGGGGAGCTGGTGGTGTGAAACGCTCACACCAAATTATGATCACTCAGCACTGACATTCCATTGCCTGTTAGGGAAGAATTTCCTATAATACTACCCTTTATTTCACTCCTACAGGTCTATTGCTATATGACCACTCTTTTATTTTAGTCAAAAGCTTCTTTCTGAATAAACCTGAATAAACGTTTTAGGATGAGGTAGACAGCAGAGAGAACTGGGGGGCTGATGCCAACCAACAAAACATGTTTCTTTAGTCTGGTTATTTTTTTATCAGGATTTAAAGCCAACCCAGTTGTCTCAGTTAACCTTTGTGCTGGCCTGGGGAAACAGAAAGGTGACACAGAGGTGCCAACAGAGGTGATACAGAGATGCCCTTTAAACCAGCACTGGGGACTCCCCAGTCAGCAGCTGGCTTATTGCTTTTGCCCCGCTTCCTGCTGGCTCTGTGAGGATTCTGCTTGTGGTGTTTCAGGGGAAAAAACCCCAACAATTTCTGTGGGAAACAGAGGAGGAAAAATGTGAGGAGAAGCTCTCCCAGGGACAATCCCTAGCAGCAGTAATTACCACCCTCGACTGAGGGACCACTTACCTTTGCACCAAGGGTTGAATAAAAGGTAGACAGCATCATTTTCAGGCTTATAAATGTTAGTTCCAGTCTTCACGTTCAGCATGTATTTTCCCACTGGGGCCTTGGGCGAGCTGGTGACAGACAGCAAGCACTGGAGAGGTGACAAGGAGAGATGGCATGATGGACCCACCACTGTGGCCACAAGCACAGCACAAATACAGCACAAGCACCTAAGGTGGTGGCCACAGGGGGAAGAGGGATGGGCACAACCTGCATGTGCAGTGGGGGAGCAATTCATTAAACAGGGCAAAGCTGCTCCCCCCCCAAAATTACAGAGTTAAGGGAAAGCAAGATGGGGATCTGTAGTTTTTCTCTGTTGCAGCCACCAGGGTCTGTGTTGCTGCCCTTCACCATTGACCCACGTGGGAGCTCGGCCCACAGGCTCTACCTCTTTGCCGCTGTTCTTGAGGATGGAGATTTGCCAGCCACCAAGGTCCTGCTCCCGCCTCGGGTTCAGCGACATCAGAGTCCCCCTGAGTTTCATCGGCTTCTCACCTGGGAACAAACCCAACACGAGATCCGGGAGGGTCACACCGGCCTGCAGTGGCCGTGCAGGGCAGGGTGGCAGGACCAGGCAGATGGAGGCTGCCGGGGATCCCCCAGCTCTGCCTGATGGCCTCTGGGGGGGACACGCACTCACCGAGGCCAAAACGCAGCGCCAGCTTGTCAGCAGCCTGCAGCTCCCTGCTGAAGGAGAGCTGCAGCTTGAAGGCCTGCCCACGCCGCACCACCAGGTTCTTGATGTTGTAGGCATCCGTGTGGTGCAGGAGGCAGTTCTCGCTCTTGAGAAAGTCAATCCCAACCACCTTCAGATCAGTCCCTGGGAAGCCGCCAGCAGTGAAGGAGGAAGAAAAAAGAGAAGGGGGTTGATGGTAAATTGCTCAGTAAAGAACATTTTCCTCTTCTTAATGGAGCCCCGTGGGTCATCAAAACATCAAAGTGTCTAGTGAGCTACCACAAGGAATCACACTAAGGATCACCAGAGCTAATGGATGGGACAATATTTCTATATAGAGAGAGATATAAAATACTACACTAACTACATTATACTACACTAGACTACACTATACTATCTATAGATAAAATATAGTGTTATGTAATACAACATATATAACGTAACATCACGTCACTTCACGTCACATCACATCACGTCACGTAATGTAATGTGATGTAATGTGATGTAATGTAATGTAATGTAATGTAATGTAATGTAATGTAATGTAATGTAATGTAATGTAACGTTTCAAGGAGCAGCTGAGGGAACTGGGGTCATTTAGCCTGGAGAAAAGGAGGCTCAAGGGAGACCTTATCACTTACAACAACTACCTGAAAGGAGGTTGTAGCAAGGTGGGTGTTGGTCTCTTCTCCAGAGTAACGAGTGATAGAATAAGAGGAAATGGCCCAAGTTGTGCAAGGGGAGATTTAGATTGGGTATTAGGAAAAAATTATTTACTGGAACGGTTGTCAGGCCTTGGAACAGGCTGCTCAGGGAAGTGGTTCAGTCACCACTCCTGGAGATGTGGCATACAGGAACATGGTGTAGTGGTTGGACTCAATGATCTTAAAGGTATTTTCCAACCTAAATAATTCAATGACTCTATGTAATGTAATATAATATGATATAATAGAAATATTTAGCATATCTGTATGGAGATATAGAGAGTAATGTTGCTGGGATGGGTTACAGAAGCTAGTGGTGGTGAATGTGCTGCAGCAATCTGCCCAGAGCAGGGACAAACACCTGCCCCACCCTCTGGCTCTTCAGCCCCATGTGTGTGCTGTGATGTGCCTCTGCCTCCTTCCCTCATCCCCCAGGGAGGCTGAGGGATGTTTGACCTCCGAGGTGGCCCTGGATGAGTGAGGAGTGAGCAGCTTGAGGGAGGTAGCAGCAGCAGGAGACGTAGCGTCAGGATTTCTGCCCCTGCTGGCACCCCAGCACCTCCATGCCCGGGCAGCTGCCCACCACAAACCCTTGGAGTAGCCTCCTCAGCAGCCAAAAGCCTGCAAATGGGATCTCACTGGCTTGGAAATCCACATTTCCTGGCCCACTGCCTGCCCTTGCACACAGCCAGCTGGCTGGTGGGCCAGCAGCTGGGAGCTCCACAGCCTGCCATGGGTCAGGAATGTGGCACAATGGCAAGTGTTGTTACATTACTGAAAGTTTTTCTTCTGCAGAAGTCTTGCTTCTCCCTCAAAAGTGGAGCTAGGACAGAACATGTGCTTTCCAACCCCACAGCTCCCCTGAGCATCTTGCACAGGAGCCCACCAAATGTCTTGATCACCACAGCATCCCTGTGGACAGCACCTATGGTCCTGTCCTCCTTGCCCCCATCTACTCAGCTGCTTTTCTGGTGGCACCTCACCAAAGCCAAGGTGGTGACAGCAGCTCCTGTTTGTTGCTTGCCTGTGCCTTGCCAAGTGCATGGTGCATCATACCATTGAATATTACAAATGTTTTCTGATATTGCAGGTGTTAAAACAACAGTAGTGGTAGCAATAGTAGCAGTAGTAGCAGTAATAAAGACAGGTAAAGAGAGCACTGTAGCAAAGGGCAGCTTAAAAATCAAACCTCACTGTTGGGATTTTATCTCAGCCTGTTTCCCTCTGGTCAAAGACTAGCCTTATATTAGCATGGAGCACATCCTTCATGATTATCAAACAATAATTAACAGTAGCTTTAATTGCTCCTTGCAAATCATGGCACACACAGTCAGGCTGGAATTAAACCCAATATGCCAAAATTCAGTTCCCCTTGATGATTGTAGAGATCACCAGTGTCTGGGCTGCCATGAACCTGGGAAATGGGACTCTTTAGGACCCTGAGGCTGATCCTTGACAGTTAGTCCCAAATAACATAAAAACTGTAATTTATCTACCTCTTATGGAAGTCCACACACGTGAATCTTTGCAAGTTTGTTGTTTTTTTTCCTAGGGACTTGGTTTCTCCAACAACCCGAGTAACAACAGCAGGTCTGTGGCCAGGAGCCTGCTGTGCTGCAGGGGTTCTGTCTGCCTGGAGGGATGCTAAATGTGGGAGCCAGCACTCTGCCCCTCTTCACTCCAACCAGTGCTTTTGTCACAGCTTTGGACTCCAGCAAGAAATCCTGTCAGATGCCTCACTCCCTTCATTCTCAACACAGCAGCTGATTTTATAGAACACGACATTAGAAATCACTTATTCTGGGCTGTTCTGCCCTCCTGCAGCTCCATATGGGAGCAGAGCTGGGAAAAGGGCACAGGAGAAGGTCACGGAGCTCCAAGAGGCACAACCTGGCTCCAGCAAAGCTAAGCTTGAGCAGAAAGGAAGCTGTCTGCTTTCAGTAAAGTTGGGGATTTGAGGGTTATTGCGTCAGGCTTTGCCAGGCTGCCTAGGTGTGACAGGGAAAGCTGGAGCATGCCAGAACGTGGCTGAGCTATAAGTCTTTCTAAGTGTCTAATCTGTCTTGTACCTGCCCATTAAATATCCTTGAAGGATTAATTCCGTGTAAACAGTAGGAAGTAACAACACCTAAAAAGCATTTAGCTCATGAGTGATTCTGATGAGTACATGGGAGAGTCAGGAAATTCATAAACCACTTCTGGTAACTATAGAAATTAGCAAATCAAAGGCCTAACAGTTGAAGGGATTAGTTCACAAAAGGACTTGAGAGATTTGCAGGGTACCAGGAACCTGAGCTAACCTGGTTATCAACCAGAGCCATCCCTAACACTGAAGAGGCTGAAATCTGCTGGTGGCTGCTGTGGCAGGAGAGATGCCACAGATGCAGGGCAGGCTGGAATCAGCGGCACGCTTCCCACGCCAGCCTGTGCCAGGCAGTGGCCGCAGCCTTGAGTCAACTGAGCTGACCGCCCATGGATCCCCACCAGATTGCTACCCCCGTGCATTTCTTCTTAGTAACTATATAAACTTTATTTACCTTAATTACACAATGGCTATCGGTGGTACAGCAAATAGGCTTAAAATTGACCATCATCTTTTGTTAACTGATTTCATTTTCAAGCACTCTTTGTTTGCTTGCTGCCTGCCAGATGCCAACCTCGGGCTGATGTTTTGCGCAACAGGGTGTGTGTGTGCGTGTGTATGTCAAAAAAATTGAGCTGAAATTGCTCACTCTGCTTGTGAAGCATAAAGGGGAAGTATGTCTTTCTCAGCATTAACAAATCTCCAGCCACCGAAGCTGCTTGACTTTGCTCCTTATGTAAAACCCGGAGCTGGGCTGAGAAGCTATTGGAAAACAGCCTCAGAATCACAGAGTTGTCAGGGTTGGAAGGGACCTCTGGAGGTTATCTAGTCCATCCCCCTTGCTAGAGCAGGATCACCTACAGTAGATAACACAGGAACACATCCAGATGGGTTTTGAATGTCTCCAGAGAAGGAGACTCTACAAACTCTCTGAGCAGCCTGTTCCATTGCTCTACTACCCCCACAGTAAGAAGGTTTTTGCTTATGTCTAGCTTGGATCTCCTATGCTCCAGCTTGTGTCCATTGCACCTTGGCCTGTCATTGGACACTGCTGAAAAGAGACTGGTCCCATCCTCCTGACACACATCCTTTAAATATTTATAAGCATTTATGAGATCCCCCCTCAGTCTCCTCCAGGTGATGGGAGAGGGCTTTGGAGGGATGTGGGAGCTCAATGCATGGGATGGCTGTGGGAAGGGACCCTGGTGAGTCCATCTTTCCAGAATTTCCTAACTTAGGGACTGCATTTCCAGCCCTTGTTTCTAGAAATCGCAGGTGTTGAGGATGCAGAGGGAAAAACAAAAAGTCCGCAGAGAACAGACACCTTGCAAAAGGTCCTGGCTGTGCAGAGCGCAGTGCCAAAGCCCTGTCCCTGCACCCTGCTGCCTGTCACTCACGCTGCACTTACTCTTCTGCAAACACACCCGTGGTACCCTGTGATCCGGCTGGCGCGGTGTCCCGAGCCAAGCTGAGTGCTGCCCATGGGATGCAGGCTCAGGCTGGGAGAGGCAGAGCTGTCAAATCCTGACAGATTAAGTTTGGGTTTGGTTTGTCTTGTTTTCTGTTTGGTTTGTTTTAGCAGAAATTTCAATACATTATTTTAATTTTTATTTCTCAGTTCCAGGATTTAACCCTTCTAGAGCTTGTTTTCTCCACCCAACCCCCTGGCCCCATCACATGCTACCTTCCTGGGAAGAAGTTCACAGCAATCACCCAGAAGAGAAATGGGGACATGAGGACTTTGCACTGGTAATGATCTGGGGCCTTTCTTACGTAAGGATGAGGTGACAGGGTTTAAAAAAGAAAATTAATATGGATCAGAGCATTCCTAGCATGCCTGGACTTCAGCGGGGAGGGAAATGGGATGGGAACTGTAGTTTTGCAAGATAAAGCAAAATTTGGACACTGCACTTATTCCTCGTCCTTGCCTAACCTCCACCAAACACTCAAACACTCAAAACATCCCAAAGATGCTGCTGTCTGACACTTCCTGGAAAATTTAATCTCATCCACACCCAGAGTATGGAGGTGTGAAATGGAGGGTCTTAGGGTGCTGTCAGGACACCCTTTCCCTCCTGATGGCTGCAGAGACCTGCTCCCAGCTCTGCTGCAGGCACCGCAGCTATGCCCCAAACCCCATGGATTTTGGGCATCCTGGGGTTGGCTGGCCCCAGGAGCACAGCCAGCAGTGGGGGTTTGGCAGCAGGTACAGGAATGGCACAGGCACCTTTCTAGGTGGGTGCAGGATCTCCATCTGACCACAGGGCAAGCAGGACAGCTCTGGGATGGAGCTCAAGTCCAAATTAATCCTTTTTCAGTTATTTTGAAACTTCTGTCAGATGGTATCAGCCGTCACAAGAGACCAATAATCTACATGATTAAGGAGCTTGAAAGAAGGAAATGCCTTTCACCCTGACACAGAACAAGTTCAGAAAAGCTGTGTTTCTTCTCTATTATTCCCAATAAAGCCAGATGTCTACAGGCTGATGAAAAGTGATGAAAAGTGGGTTGCATTTCTCAGTCGGTTTAGCGATCCATCAAAACCAGATTTGGCTCAGCCCGACCAGTAGAATTTTCTCAGCCAGAGCAAACCTATTCCCCGTGAGCAGCATCAAAACACCTTCCCCCAGGGTAGCACACATGGCAGTCAGAGGCATGAGAAACCCTCCAGCTCTGCTGGAGATCCTGCCTATCCAACATAGGTTATCCTATTGAGCATTAAAAACTCACCACCGTTACTGTTCATGTTCCTTGTCGGCGTTTCGACCCGAGATGTCTGCGATGCCAAGCAGCTTCCAAGCTCCCAAGTAGCCTCTGCCACTCGCTTGTGAGTGTGGAGAAGGAAGACTGGCTGCCCTTTTTATCAGCGTCTGGCTCTGAGGTGTCACTGCCAAGGGGTGGTGTTTAGAGAAAGGAAGTGCAAAAGAAAAATAAATAAATAAGACTATAACTCACTCTGCACATAGTCAGACCCTGAAAAAATCGAAACTTAAATCCCCACTCACATGGAAGGTGGATTTGCACAATCAGATGACAAGCAGACAGACCCTTCACTGACAAACAGTAAAATCATGGGGTAGGTGACTAACAGGAATGCATCTATGCCCTAACATCCAGGTTGCCAGGACTGCAACTCGAGGGCTGACTTTGCAAGGCAGTCCACAAACATTTAATCCCTAGGAAAACAGGAAAAATCCCTAGTTCCTCCTTAGGACCAGTCTAACTTCCATAGAATCATAGAATTGTTAAGGTTGTAAGAGACCTAAAAGATCATGTAGTTCCAACCCTACGCCCCCCTGCTGTGATTTCTTTGAAGTTAATGGGATTTTTGTCGTTGTGTTTGGGACAGAAACACTTGAAGCTGTTGGCTAAAATCCAGTGTTTACATGTGAATCGGAAAGACCAAGCATTCTGGTGCTGGGCCCCTCCCTGCCCATGGGGCATGCCAGGGAAGATAGTTCAGTGCCCCACTGTCACCCTGGTCCTCGAGGTGACCAAAGATAGATAGATGAATCCACCCCACACTGGTGGCACAGGCCAGCAATGACATTGACAAAGTGGCCAGGAAGAGATACAAACATGTCCCCAAATACTCAAAAGTGACGAGGTGGCTCAGCTGCAGGTGCAGCCTCTGTCCCTTGATGCCTCTTCTCATGGCAGCAGCCCAGGGTCCAGGTGGGACTCAGTCTGCAAGGCTGGTGCATCTAAATGTAGGATCTTCCTAAACAAGATCTCCCTGTGGAAATCTTCAAAGGCAGTGACTATTGCCTATCCATTCAGGTAGCGAGGTATTTACTTTACGAGGACTGTTTCATTTGGTGCAGAAGTGTTGGTGCAAGAGAGGTGCTGTGTTAGCAGATCCCACCCTTCGGGCATGTCGCTGCTTGCTGGCAGGTGTACGTTGGGTGTCCCTACTTGAGAGCATGACTAGCGCATCCCAGGGCACTGAGGGTTCAGTACACATCTATCATCTCACAGGACATCTGTACGAGCATCTGAACTGCCAATGTTCTTAGTAGATGGAGCATCACTCACCATTCAGCACCAAACAATGTGCTGGCAAGTACATATTTCACTCGTGAAAAAACCACTACAACCCCAACTTACCTTTCAGTGTTGCTTTTACTCTGCGTTTCTTTCCTTCTGGAAGGTGAAAGACATTTTTGTCTAGAACCAGCACAAGATGAAGTGAAGTACACATGGAATATCTGTACAACAACATAACCAATGACACATTTAGTCTGCACATTTACAATGTATATTACTGCTTTCCACTTAATTGCAGCAACAGAGTAATCCACTTCATCTGACAGCACTGAAAGTAGATTTCTAAACCAGTCTGAGTTGGGGCTGTTCAGCCTGGAGAAGAGAAGGCTCCGAGGAGACCTTATAGCAGCCTTCCAGTACCTGGAGGGGGCCTACAGAAAAGCTGGGGAGGGGCTTTTTACAAGGGCTTGTAGCACAAGGGGGAATGGTTTTAATCTGGAAGAGGGTAGATTTGGGTTAGGCATTGGGAAGAAATTCTTTAGTGTAAGGGTGGTGAGACACTGGCATAGGTTGCCCAGGGAAGTAGTGGATGCCCCATCCCTGGAAACATTCAAGACCAGGTTAGACGGGGCTCTGAGCAACTTGGTCTAGTGGAAGGTGTCCCTGATCATGCAGCAGGTGTGGAACTAGATGATTTTTAAGGTCCCTTCCAAGCTTAGACATTCTATGATTCTATGATACATGTAACATTCTGTGCTTGGTTGGAGGCAGCTTAAATCAGGTTGACACAATACTCCTACATCAAAAACTACAGAATTTTGCAAACAGGAACAGGTAGATGTTAGTAATGCTTTCCTCCTGATAAAACTTCATGTAGGAACATGCTGGAGGGTCAGCGGTGGAGTCAGGGCATGTACTCACCAGGAACTCTCACATTTACAGTTCTATAGAGTTTTGCAAAAGGGTGATTTCAACAGCATGCATGTTCTGACCCTCACGTTGAAATTCAGCATTCTAGGAAAGAGTGCAGAAGTTAGATGGGTGTGGGTTCTGCCCTTCCATGAACCAGCTCTGTCTTGGAAAGTGGATGACCTTTTCACTGCCTAGAGTATTTTTGGTTTATGCCAGTAGACAGCATCAGGCTTTCAGTTCTTCTTTCACTGTGTGTAGCTGCTGCTCTTGCCTGCTCCCGTTAGTATTTCCTATGCACTGGTAGCATTTCAAGTCAAGGGCATTAACCTTGGTGCCTTTGTCTTTGCTGGCCAGGGCAACCAGAGAGGCTGGCTGTGGTTCAGTAGTGTGGCTTTTTTCCCCCCTCCTCCTCAGTGAAGCTATGAAAAGTTATGAAAAATACTAGCCCTGTCTAGTCACAACAGTTAATTGTTTCAATCCATCTCATAGAAGTGTGCTCTTCTAATTAACAGAAACAGGAGATGGTATCTTGCTCATAGGCAATCTCCAGCCTGTTACCAGTAACTTCACCGACTCACTTCCCAGCTTGCAAAATGAGACACCAGAGGCCATCAGCCTTATCTGCATCTATCTGCTGCAAGGTAGGTCACCTTATTAGCTGGTATCAGAAGGTAATAAAATGCAAACAAATACAATCAGAATTCCTCAGTGACTGCTCCCCTATTTACAAGCTTGCCCTTTGTCTCAGGTTGTGTTTATTTTGTGTATCAAAAATGACAAGAACAAATCAAACTTCCAGAGCACGACCACAGATATCCATGCCAACTAGGAAGAACATGAAGTGCAACTCAATCCTTAGCTTTACAGTTTTATTCACTTGCAACCCCCTGTCTAGTTATGGACAAGTTGTCTTCTATAATAGTAAAGTACCGACCTACACTTTTTATAGTCATCTAAGGTTTCAGGTTGCTTCTGTTTCATCTTTTTTTAATCTGATGTCCAGCCACAGTAACACTCAAAATAAAACACAGATCAAAAGCACCACAGGTTTCCTTTTTGGCAGTCTGGGAAAGTGAACTAATCCTTCCAGTTGCCCTGCAAACTTGCCCTGAGATGCCAAGGGCTGAGTGGTGCATCTCCCAAGGTACACACAAATACAGCCCATGCCTGGGTCCTTGAGGGCCACCACTGTGAGAAGGTGACTTCCACTGACCACAGCAGGACTTCTCCCATGTATACCACCTAGTATGTTTTGAGTCTAAGGAACAATAAATAATGAGAAGTCTTGGGGGGATAAAAAGAAAAAAACATACAGAGAAAACAGCTGAGGGTCTGGTCCATCTGTTTTGAGCTGGACCATATTTTAAGGTGCTACATGGGTTTTTCCCTCACTGTTTCATTATGTTTGTACCTTTGCCATTAAGAATTCCCTAGTAGTGAGACAAATCTCATCCACATAATGACCCTGTCATACTGTGCTTCTGTTACTCTGCAAGAAGCACTGATCTAATTGCTTCTCACTCCTGTACACCAACCATGGGCCATGACAATGGCCTGTCAGCTACGTCCCGAGGGCATCCCGTGCTCCCAATAGGCAGATTCTCTTCTACTCATACATGAACTAACTTGTGGCAGGCAGTCGGACGTCAGGGGTTGATGCAAGATGGCCAAGCCCAGATCTTAACTGTTTCCAACTCATCTGGCTCTAGCTACCTCATAATGAGTTTCTCACAGGCAAATACCAGAGAAGTGATTGATAGCAATAAAATTATTGCAGAAATTCCATTGTTTCCTTCTCACTGAAACTTGAAGGAGCATTTTGTACCTAAAGGTAAGGATGTAGGTAACTAGTTTCGGGCATCTACATCCAGATGGAATGAAAACCATATTGCTCTGTGCCCAACCCAGCACCACCCAGGGAGTCTGTTCCTGGGGAAGGCAAAGACAAAGACAAAACAGAGACCACATCAGCACAGACACCAAATGCAGGCAAAATGCTCTTGTGTAGCACTTTCCCTGCCCTGAACAACAAGTCCTGTGGCCATCACAGGAAGCTGATGTTTTAGGCCAGGCTATCTTGTAAAAATGCAAAGCTACTTAAACAGCAAGCCAAAATAATGTCTTGTTGGAATGTGTTTTCTGGTTATTTTTCAAGATCTTTTTCTCCTTCCCTGGCTGAGTTACAAGAGGCAAAATTGGAAAATCAGTCTAGATATAGGGAGCAACTACATGTAAAGGTCAAACTTGGTATTTCAGTACTATGGCTGCTTGACCTTCAGCTCTTGCACTGGAAACACCAAAATAAGCATGCTCCAGTTCTGCTGAGATTATGTTACATATTGGACTATATTACTCAGGGTAAGGTATTTCTGCTTTCCAGCAAAACATTTCAGAATTTTGTGCAAGAAATGACAAAAAAAAATCTCCATTGTGTCACTTCTTCCAGACAGCAGCTTTTAATAAAGTTGCCTCCTCTTTGAACCCGAGGAACACGTCTGCATCTGTTGCTGTTGCATCTGGGCAGGAGTTCCTCAGCTGGATGACACATTTTAGGAGAAGGAAGCTCATCCAGCTTTGAATCTGCTGCTTGCTATCTTCCCTTGTGGCCCCCCATTTTTGTGGCAGAGGAGATCATCAACAGCTTACTTTGTCCATGCAACTGACAGTCTTCTCAGCCCCTGTTGCAAAGCACCATCACCTCTTTCCTAGACTGAATGACTGAAGCCTGCTAACTTGCTTCTCTCCCTTTGTACCACCACATCAAGAGACCCAAGATGGGGACAAAGACCCTTCTTGCCATGCAGTCCTGCAGCCAGCAGTGTGTTCTTGGACGAGGTCCAACGGGGTGGGTGCTGCTACTCCAGGGCTGTATCCACCCTACTGCCACTGACCCATGAACCAGCTCCGAGCCTGCATGTATGACCACACTGACTGATTGCAGTGTGGACACATATCCACAGACTACACCTAGAGCAAACAATATGAAAAGGCACGAGGAAAAAATCAAGCAAAAGAGAGCTGCAAAAAATAAATGGTAAGGGCAAGGAAATCAACAGTGCAAATATTGAATCAGGGATAAAATAGTTTATCCATATATTAAAAACAGCTTCAGAGAACAAGGAAAATACTGACAGAACACCTTCCCACCTACAAGATATGTGTTTGGTTGCACATGTCTAAGTGAGAAAACAGAAACTTGCATGCCAGTGTCTTCAAGTAACATGTCTTTCTGTAGGGGTGGTGCGACAGCTTCTCCCATCTGTCTGTGTGGGTGGGTGTGTCCATAGACATGTAAATGTGCACAATCTACAGGTCAGACTATGCCATGCCACATCCACACCAGCCAGCAGCATGACTGAAATCGCTACGTGGTGGGAAGGGAAGGCAGAACGTTCCTAGACCAGCAGGATTTGCAGAAAGGAGCCATGTTTGCACAGTTCCAGAGACCCATCTCATCTCACAAGCTGCATGGGAGCAGCACAGTGGGTGTGAAGGCTTTGTCCCACTCCTGGACATGTGGATGTCACACGTGGTAGCCTCCTTGGTATGGTGGGATTGACCAAGGACAGGGATCTGTGGTTATTTGTCCTGAAAAGAAACCAAACCAGCATACTCCTGCTCAACTCTCTTCACATCATCCAGGACGTTGCCCTTTACAACAGCAGGATATGCCCTCACTTTCGTGGGCAGCTGGGATAGCTCCATGTCCACTGGGATTTCTTAGGACACGTTTTAGTGTAGCACTTGTTCCTGGCAGAGATTTTGCCTGTGAGTTGCCTAACTCAGGAGTGTCCTGAAGGGAACGAGTCATTCAAAATACCTCCTTCTCTGAATGAGGAAACAGTTGCTCGGCAGCAGGAAATGTGGCATTTGTAATGTTTCATCCTTCCATAGAACACTGCTCATTTCTCCCTCAGTGTTGCCTTAACTTACTGAAAACAATTAGGTTCAAAGCCTTGGCTGACATTCAGAGAAGCCCTTGCTGGTGTTCAGATCCTGCGCACGAAGGTCATGGTGACAGGCAGGGCTGTTTGACTCAACCTTTGCAAAAATGAAGAGTCTGCTTTTGTCAGGGGAGGATGCAAGGTGCTCTCACAGCCAAACCCCATCCCCAGCTCCCACAGGTGGGATGCAACTCCTGTCTGCAGAGGTTTCTGGGCCAAGTGAGATTGAGTGATGGGGTCAAAACGCAGGCACATCCAAAAAGTGGTGGTACCATCCAGCACACCCCACTTATCATCAGTCTTCCCAGCCCTCCCTCCCACTTATTAGCCTTTTTGCAGTGGAATCTATGTGCTGTGCAAGACCTGGACAGCGGTGAGTGGGGTGTGCATCATTTCCTCCTGGAAAAAGGGAACAGGAGGCCCAACCCAGGAGCTCCCCAGGCATTAGCCCAGCACCAGCAATCCATCAGGACTTCAAGGGTGTGCAGCAGCCCCAGGAGTTGCTTAGGAAGTCTTGGCAATTAGTACAGCCACTCACAGCCACTTCTCCTTCAACCCTGAGGAAAAAATGAAAACAACTAAGGGGGTTATTAAACAGCCAGAAACCAAAAATTTCCTTGGAAAGTGAAGAAAGTGGCTGGCTGGTTGCTCAGCAGGGCAAAAAGTGTCCTGTGTATGTCAAATGCTGCTGGTGGATGTGTGTTGCTGAGGTGCTGCATGCGGCTACAGAATGGAGTACTGCAAGTTCTAGGCTTCTCTGTGCTTTGGTCACCCTATGCTGGGCTGCTGCAGCTGGCAGCTGTCTGTTATGGTTTCTGTGGTTAGCCCACAAGCCTCTGGTTGCCTAAGTCTGTATGGCATCTCAAGGGGGACCCTCTTTTCTGTGGCACAACAGCATTGAATGGCAACTGCTAAGCTTGGAGGCAAAAGGGCAAATCAGCTTTAGTTATAGATAGTGTTGCTCATGAAATCCATCAGTAGGTCACAGGAAGTTCAACCTCCAGTCCAGATGTGATAGTCACCAACACAAGATTGAGTAAGTTGAGGTTTTGAAAAGCCGAGCCCCAAAACCTCCAAAGGAGGAGACTCTGCTTCTCCTCTGGGCAACTGACCTCTTGGTGACATTTTTTAACCTGATAGCCAGTTGGAGCTCCCAGGATGTAACCTGTGCTTGTTGCCTCTTCACGTTCTGGCCATTCCTACAGAGTGGAGCTTGGCTCTGTTGTGTCTGTAATTCCTCTCCAAGCACGTGTCAGCTGCTATCAGTTCAGCCTGAGCCTCCCTCTCTTCAACAAGCCCACACCCCTCAGCCTCTGCTCATATGCCCATGCCACCTTGGTATCCTTCCACCAGATCAATTTCCTGACACCTGTCTGGATGTGGGGTGTCCAGTGCTGGAACCAGCACCCCAGGTACAGCCTTTGACTATGGCAGGGCCCTGAGGGCACCAACTGGCACTGACTGCTCCTGCCTGACCCCTGGGGCTTCCCCTCTACCCTGTCAGTGGGCTAGGACCCTATTTCAGACTTTACAAACAGGTTGCTGATCTTTTTTATAGTGTTAAAGTATCTAGAAATAGACTTGCCTTAGAAAGGGCACTCAGACACTCAGCCCAACAACTATGTTCCACCTGAAACTAGAGAGTCTTTGCAGTCTAAAATACTTCTGTTTCTTCTGCAGGAGCAACCCAGGTCTTGCAATCCTTTCCTTTAAAAAGTGACAAGGCACTGCATCCACAGACATGATTTTTAGAGGCAAACTCCTGAGTGTCTTGGAAAGGCTTTTACCACTGACTGAGCTCATCCTAGATTCTTCTCTGAGACCAAGCAAGCTGCAGGCACCTCACAGCTTGCTGTGGATGAGTGCCCACCCTGATACAACACCCTTCTGCAGCTCTCCAACCCCCAAAATTAAGACTTCCTGCTGCTTTCCCGCAGCAGGCAAGCAGAGCACCTGGCACCATGAACGTGTCAGGGTTGGTACCCATTTATTCATGACTTCATGTTTTTTCTGCGAGCCATGGCATCGCTCTTCCAGCATGTTGAGCCACCAACACTTCCTTCTTCAAAAACACCCCAACACTCACAATATTTTTGTGGAATTAGGTGCGTCTGTGACACCCTTGCAATATGATCGGTATTTAAGGTCACTGAAGGGTCAACACAGGGCACTGAATCAAATACCTTGGAAATCTTGACTATGCAAAACTCGGCAAAATAATCTACCGATCTTATTTATCGCATCCACTTCTACTACTTATCACCCGGGTAAACACACTGTCCTTCAAGCTATTTTGATATGTGCTGTGACTGAGCCGTTGTACAAACTTCCCAGGTTTCAGTGGCTCCTTGGCAATGACAACAGGGACTTTTCTCAGGTTTTATGTATAGTTCCCTATCTAATCAGTCACACTATGCTTTAAGGTTCAACTGCAACTATAATTTCATTTGGCTTTGTTCCTTGTGAAGCTATATTTACCTTACAATTTAATACTCTTAGACCTTGTTTATACAACAGATTTTTCAAAAAGCTTCCCACCATTAATTCAAGAATACTGACCTCCATCTTCAGGAGCAGCACTTTGAGCCTTGCTGTGGACCATGACTCTGCTTCTTCTGATTGAAGTGTGACATGATGTTTTGGCTTAACCCCAGCTGGCAACCAAGCACCAGGCAGCCACTCGCTCACTACCCTCAGTGGGATGGGGGAGAGAATCAAAAGAGTAAAAGAGAGAAAACTCCTGGGGTGACATAAAGCCAATTTAATAGACAAAGTAAAAACTGTGCACACAAGGAAAGAAAACAAGGAATTAATTTGCTGCTTCCCATTGGCAGGCAGGTGTTCAGCCATCCCCAGGAAAGCTGAGGTCCATCATGTGTAACTGTTACTTGGCAAAACGATCACCATCCCTCCCAACGTCCCCCTTTCCTTCTTCTTCCCCCAGCTTTACATTGCTGAGCATCACATCATATGGTGTGGAATATTCCTTTGGTGAGTTGGGGTCAGGTGTCCCAGCTGTGACCTGTACCAAGTCCTTGTGCACACCCAGCCTTCTTGCTGGTGGGGTGGTGTGAGGAGCAGAAAAGGCTTTGACTCTGTGCAGGCACTGCTCAGCAGTAAGGAATACATCTCTGCATTATCCACTCTCTTTCCAGCACCAATCCAAAACACAGCCCCATACTGGCTACTACGAAGAAAATTACCTCAGCCCAAGGCAGTACATCCCCCACTCCTCTTCAATACCATTTACATCATGCTCATTGCTCACTATGCAATACATTCTCATTAATCACCACCACATCTTCCATCCTTTGACAGAATACACAGATATTATTCCTGCAGTCTACAGACCACCTCTCTGAAATGTCTGTAAAATGTCCATAAATGTTCACAAATGTCCACTGACTTCATTTAGTCCATGCCTTTCAGCTCCATCTGTTATGGTGGTCAATCAGGACAGGAGAGCTGGTGTGTTGCAGAGAGTTACTGGGCATCAAATCCAGGCTCAGGTCAGGTCACTGCTGCACTTGCACTGCTTCTTTGAAAAGCTGCTTCTCCATTGGTTCAGGTGGTTCCTGCTACAGCAATTCATACAGCATGCAACTCAAATTCCAGGTTACAGCAATTTATAGTTTTTTCCTTTACAATCTCCATCCTGGTCTCTTTGGAGCAGACCATAGGGCTTAACATTGCCATGAACTCCTCCCCTTATCCCTGCTCCAGCTTGGATTTATCCAAGCTGCAGTCTTTGAAGGTTGTACCCACTCCAAGTGGAGCCTTGTCTATGAGCCAGTCTTGTCAGGTGTGTACCTGGTGCAGCATAGGCTTATCCAAAGTCACAGCTGCTTTGAGGTGCACCTGATCCAGAGTGGCCTTCTCCATGGGCCATAATACCTTCAGAGATCTACCTGCTCCAGTGTGGCCTTACCCACAGCCATGGCCCCTTCAGGATTGAACCTGCTCTGACATGGCCTTACCCATGGCTGGAGACCCTTTGGAGGTGTATCTGCTCTGTCAAGGGCTTATCCATGGCCACACACTTCGAGGTGCTCTAGTATGACCTCATGCACAGACGCTGATGCTTCAAGGTGTACCTGCAGCATCATTGACTTATCCTTGGCCCACAACCCCTTCAGAGGTACACGTGATGCAGCAAAGACATAACCACGACCACAGATGCTTTGAGGTGTGCCTGCTCTGGCGTGCACTCATCCATGGCCACAGACCCCTCAGAGTGCACTCATCCACAGGACACAGTCCCTTCAACTTGAGTTCACACTGGAATTCCAGCTTGTCTAGAAAAGTGGCACAGAAACAGCAGTGATACCTTGGCCATCTGCCAGCCCAGGAGCACTGCCATCGCTGCTATCAAAATGTTCCCAGGAACAGCAGAGAAAGATAAGCAGTACAGTGAATAGCAAGTGCAAAAAGCAGCCACTAATGAGCACTGGATTCTCATCTACAGTACGGCAGACAGAGAAGGCTGTCAGTTAACCAGTTAATAGCTAAACAGCATCAACAGCTATATGATCTAGCACATTCCAGTCAAATCTGTTGTTATTTTGGACCCTTTGAGCCCCATGCTGGGCACCAAAAATTACTGTCATGGTTTAACCCCAGCTGGCAACCAAGCACCAGGCAGCCACTCACTCGCTACCCCCAGTGGGATGGGGGAGAGAATCAAAAGAGTAAAAGAGAGAAAACTCCTGGGGTGACATAAAGCCAGTTTAATAGACAAAATAAAAACTGTGCACATAAGCA